GCCCCCCCCCCCCCCCCCCCCCCCCCCCCCACCCACCTATCTCCCCCTGGAAGGTTTTTCTTGGAGTGTTGAGGCGAACACATTCGGCCGATTTTCGATTCCAATTGAGCGATTCAAAAACGACATCTGCGCTACTATTTATACAGAATAACTGGATTCCCCAATGTTCAAATAAAATACATTAGCTACACATGTGAGAAGCATGGTACGTTACCGATTATCTTAGCCTGTGCCAGGCCCTCAAATAGTAGGGTCGTCGCGAAAATAAAACTAACACGCGCGCGATCTGGAGATCAGGGGGCGATGGCTCTCTTTCTCCCCACCCCCCGCGCTTTTACTGTAGATTGTGCTAGCATAATTTTTGGCATAATTCGTCTTTACCAGCAAAATTTTCATGTATTTCCGGAAAAAAGCACCGCTAGCATAATTTGCTTTTCTGGCTAGTTTTTTTGGGCTGCTTATTGTCGCATTTATGGGACCTGGGTCCCACAGGAAGTGACCTTGGACCTTGCCACAGGACTCAACGCATGCGCATATCTGACTAGCTTGGTTATACAAGATGGCGTCTGTGTGCTGGGTTTTTTTAGTTGAATTTTTATAGTTTTAAGAGAATGAATTATGCACTCTTCAAGTTTCTAGACGTAAACAGGGTAATTGTGTTTGCCACTTACTTATACCTGGATTTGTGAAAACCGGGATAGCAAAAGTATCAACTAATTCTACTACTGGGCAATTTAAAACAATATAACTCATTCAAAGGCCAACTAAAAGCCTTTATCTGACGCCGGGCACTAACTTAATGGTCCCTAGAAGCATTCCAACGACTCCAAATTTAAAATGACGCAAATTTTAGAACATTTATTCAGCAAACTGACTTCGCGAAGTTTCAAACCGGTGTCATTTCAGTCTAGTGAACTGCAGCGAAAGAGTGCCTGGTTAAGGCTTACATAACAACTTAAATAGTTAACAAAACACTACTTTTTTCGCGGTTCGATAAACAACAAGATTCCGCATGGAATAGACAACAGACTGTATGAAACGCAGTGCACAAATTTATACTTTCTTATCTGCAAAAATCGGCCTATGGTTCAATGCCATTAGAGCCCGATGAAACTAGACCTAGATCCAATTTTCCTGAGTCGAGAGTCGCTTTTCCAAGGTACAATCAGCTAAGCTAAACACCGACGAAACAATATTAATGGCTGGCACAGAATATTTTGGCCAAACCGCAGTTCAACCACGCGATCACATACCTGTCAACACCATGCGGAAATCACACAATCACACACTTTCGTAGCCTGNGTGGGGGGGGGGGGGGGGGGGGGGGGGGGCGGTAAACCATTTGCCCAAAAAATTCTCGCAAGTGTCCCAAATTTTTACAAAAGAGTCGAAAAGAAACGAGGGCCATATTGCAACAACATAGGCCGAACTGGCGAATGAAGGTGGCTCGATACAGTTTTTCAGGGTCACACCAGGTTTGAGCATAAACTACGTCGCCATAAACAAACATTAGGAAAAATTGCCACCACAGTAAATGAAAATTTGTCAAGATCAGGGTGGCAATGACATCAGAGTTGTCATAACATCGAAATCACGCCACTACCTATTTTACTTCAGCAAAATTAAAAATTCTAGGCACTGGCAACCTTACAAAATCGTTCACAGGAGCTTTTTTCGCTAATACGGTCTTCTCGATGTTTGCAAAGTTTAAGCAAAATCTGTGAGAGCTTTATCGAGATAGTTTGGGATGAAGTTGTTACCGTTAGAAATACGGTAAGAAAAGGAAAATTGTGAGATTTGGCCGTTATCTGTAGAAAACGAAGCGCTTTTGACATGCAATTTCACCTCATAGTAGTTTTAATCTTTTTACACTGACGTGCGTGAAAGATCGTGGAGATAGCTCCGCCAGATTGAAGAAGAAGGATTTGATTAGTATGTATCGCGGCGCTCTTGTTAGCGGTTTTGTAAACATTTCGGTCTACTTTAACAAATAATTTTAAACCACTCGATAGATTTTTTAAAAGAATTAAGATTCTCCTCGTAATTCAAACTGAGAATTAGTCAGCCACTCCTTCGTTTTCAGACCCACCCTGTTCTTCGAGTGGAGATGATTCTAGAAAGTTATGCGAAAGTTTATTCTAATTAATTCACGACTGGATAGCCCATTCCAGCTAGTGCAGTGCAGTACGGTGCCCAACAATAACAAAAAAATAAATATGTAAATTACTCATCACATGTTAGGCGATTACTGTGTCGTGTGAATGTAACTGGATTATTACGCCGACTTCAGGTTACTATTCAGGTCTTCAAGATAATTAAGATTCAGTAAAACAAGGTGGAAACTTATTTACATCATCGCATCTCTTGGAGCAAGAGTATTACCTTCTGCAATGAAAGGAATTTCAAAAGATGTTCCAGCAATGGCAACTGGTACTGCAACTGCACTTGGAGAAACTGGACTAAATAAAATATTTGGAAAGGGTATAACACTATTCCAAAAAAAAATTATTGCAATGTTACCACTTATTACAAAAGAACTTACAAAGCACAAATAGACCAAATTAACAGAGCTTATCAATCAGGTGGACGATGGGTTATTAAACCAACAAGAAAACAGATTGAAGGTGGATTTTTGGGAGCATTAGCAAGTATAGGTATTCCAATGGCAATTAGTTTAGTAAATAAACTATTTAGTGGTAGAGGACTATAAGTTGATAGATAAGCATCATCAAATACAAGAATTATTTATGTACCACCACCTGTTAAAACACATGGTGATGGTTACTATCCATATCAATCACTTCCATTTTTTGGTAATGGGGAAAACCCAACTGGAATGGGAGTTAAAAAAAAAAAACCAAGGGAAAGGGAAAAGGAAAAGGACTTTTACGCGGACCAAACAGTCCCTTCGATTCAAGTCCAATAATAGGCTCAATTTTGTAAATAAACCACTGTCTAATTTCTATTTGTTTGATTGGATTACAAAGCTTGGAATTGAACGTTTTCG